TCCCGAGGAGCAGGGAGCCCGATGCGGGGCTCGATCCCAGGACCCTGGGATCATGACCTGAGCCGAAGGCAGACGCCCAACGACTGAGCCACCCAGGCGCCCCTGTGTTACTCTTTATAGTGGGGAATTGCTGCACACATGTTTCCAAGCTTGGGGTATAGCAGGTTCTCAAGTAAATTTTTATTGAATAAAATGCTTATACCTCCTATTGTCTAGTGTCATAGTGATCTGGATTCATGGCCATCGCGTCCAGTCTGCTGTCCCCAGGCAGGACCTTGTGGATGAAAGATCACTGATTCTGGACTTTCTCAGCCGCCTGTTCTGTTGTTGAACAGCCTTTATGGCTCAAACTAACAGTTGAGCTCATTGTCTTTTAATCATTAATTTTTAAAGGGAAATAGAAGAAAAACATTCACTGCCTTTTGTGTAATAAAACATTGTTTTGTTTTCCTAGATCTTTTTTCTAAATGAAGTTAACTTGGCTCCTTTTGCATTCTGTTCTCTATACTTTAAATAATAAAAATACAGAGCCTCTCTGTTTCTTGTGGTTTTAAACATTTACTAGAACTTTTGTATATGTACCTCTTCCGAAAAAGACAGCCTGGCTCAGCTGTCTTTGGTAGAATGTGTATAAAGGTGAAAGTGGAGATCTTTCCATAAGATTTTCACTCAGTAGTTACATCAAGATGTGTATTTCTGCCCGTATTTTCAAAGGAAGTAGACCCAAAAAATGGTACAATTCAGATATGTAAATGTTTTGTTTAATGCCTTGCCACTCAGAAAGCCTATTAAGTTTTTGAACTCTTCATTGTGCTTCTTGGTAATCCCTGTGCCTCAGCTTAACTGCTTCTTCTTGCAGTACATTAAAGTTCGGAATTGATGAAGTCTGAGTCTTGCCAAATGGGCTGCATTTGCCCTTTGTTATTAAAATGGGCTTTGCTACGTTTTGGAACAAATTTATTTTGCTAATGAGTTATGTTATTCTGACCACAACTTAGAATAGTAGTTTTCAAAGTCTTTTTTAGGTAGTAATCCTTACCTTAGTAAAAGGGTTTGTCCCCTTGTTTAAAGAGTCTTTTGCAGGATCTTATCCGATGTAAGCAATGTAGTGTTTGCAGGTTGCAGCTGGGCCTGGAGCGCCCGTTTAGGCCAAGTTCCCTCTTCCCAGCAGCAGCCAGTGATGGGGCCCCAGAGGAACTTGGGCCTTTTGCAGAGCAACCTCCCAGCCTGTGATTTAGAGGATTGTGTCTTAGCGCTTTTGTCTTCGTCTTGCAGGTTGGCAAGAATGTCGATAAGTGGCTCTGGATGCTTGGTGCTCATCGTGTGGTGACTAGAGGGGAGGGGGACTGTGACGTGGCTAAGAGCAAACACGGCAGCATCGAAGCAGACTTCAGAGCCTGGAAGACCAAGTTCCTTGCCCGGCTGCAGACACTTCAGAAAGGAGAGAAAAAGCCCTGTGACGGCAACTGCAAGAGAGGCCAGTGCGAGTCGTCCGCGGTATGGAGCCCCTGTGTTCAGGTCTCGCTGCTTTCCTCCTGTGTGTGGGGATGCTGGACCTTAACCTCTGCCCCGAGAAACGCCTTCCCTGGCTTCTGGTTAGAAGGAAGATCTGTGGCTCCCGTGGGGGCGTTTTAGATTGCGTGCGGCCTTCCGAGTGAAGCCAGCGTGGGCAGCATACTTTCCTGTTTCCCTGCTTTAATGGTTGCGTTGCCAGGGTAGCAGACTTCTCCCGTAGTTGGAGGGTCGGAGGCAGAGGCCTGAGGTTACGTATGTCCTGTCTCCATATCCCCTAACCATGTCTTCCTCCCGACCTCTCTTAACGACTCCTTATTAATTAGACTGGAAGGCTGCCCGTCATCCTAGATTCCTCTCTTTTTGTTCCTCACAGTCTTTTTTTTTTTTTAAATTTTTAAATTTTTATTTTTAAGCATTTTATTTATTTATTTGAGAGAGAGAGACAGTGAGAGAGGGAACACAAGCAAGGGGAGTGGGAGAGGGAGAAGCAGGTTTCCTGTGGAGCAGGGAGCCCGATGTGGGGCTCGATCCCAGGACCCTGGGATCATGACCTGAGCCGAAGGCAGAGGCTTAACGACTGAGCCACCCAGGCGCC